GGCCGGATCCCCCCCCGGGGGGAGCTGCTCCAGGGGCAGGCAGAGCAGACGGGAGCAGCAGAGCGTAGGGAAGAGCTCGCTGGCCCCCTACCCGTGTAATAACTCATATCCTGCATTTTGTGTCCCGTTCAAACCCCCAGGAAGGGCCAGGTGAACCGCCCCAGCTCCCACCCTGCCCCCAGGGCAGCCGGTGCAGGCATCCCCTTCTCCTACACGGTACCATACCCCTCCTTTCCGGGGTGACGGTGGAGAGGAGGGTGCCCCACAGCCCCCTGCTCACACAGAGCTGCACCCCGGGGTCAGGAGGCTTCAACAACAGCTGGAAAAGGCGTTTCCAGGAGCAGCAACCCCGGCCCCTGCTGACCCGGCGCCACAAGCAGCGCTGCTCGCCCGCCTGGGGCGACCTCGGGCTTGGCCTTATTTATGGATATGGAATCTCTCCAGCTCTGATTTGTGTAACCAGCTGGTGGCTGAAAAAAAACAACAAACCACTCCAGGGCTCCTCCTGGAGTCGCTCGGCAGGTAAAGCAACGGGAAAGCAAGAAGAGGGCCGGGCCCAGCCTGCTCCAGCAGTGGGGAGAGCCAGCAGGGTAAGTGCTCACGGCTGAAGAACTTGAGCACGGTCCTTCCCCTGCACGGAGCTTTGATGAAAGAGCTGAACTTAGTTTTGTAGGAATTAAAGGAATTCAGTACAAGCAGAAAGCAAAGAGCCAGGGGCTTCCAAACCCACATGTCCCTGGGGAAGGGAAGGCACAACCCAGCACAGAGCTGCAATACAGACATTGACACCCATGTAACCCCCTCCTGAGCTGCCCATCCTGCCACAGCACTGACCACCAGGGAATTCTGCAAGTTTCCCAACCTCAAGAACCACAGCTTAGCAATGGTCCAGGAGCCAAAACCAGTTACTTTCCTTTCACAGACACCACTTACATTGGTTTCCAGGGTCAGTGGGTTTTCACACACACACAGAGCAGCACAAAGCCACAGTCCAACCTCCAGTTTTCACCTTGCCCATGTGCATCAGCCTCCACAGCCATTAAAGCAGGAAAATTCTGAGTTTCCATATTAAAAAGCAGCAAGAGAGGAGAGAGCTGCTCAAGAAAGAGGCAAAAAAGGTCCTGGACTATTGCAACATCTCTTTTACCTCCCCATCATCACCACATTTGGTTTGGCATTGCAAGGACTCCACCAAGGACTCTCTATCTGGAGCCCAGCTCTGCTTTTCTCCCACAAAAGGGGCTGTTTTCCAACACTCTCACCTTCCTGTGCAGGATTTTCTCCAGCCTGCCTCCTGAGGACATCAATCCCACACAAAACATGGGCCTGCACAGAGCAGGGCACTGGCCTGCTGGCATAGCCCTGCGTGCTGTGCAGGTGCTTCCTGCCTGAGCTTCCCTGTGTCCCGTGCTCCCTGCCCCGGGAACACCGGGATAGCCCCGCAGGCAGCTGCCACACTCTTGGCCTGCTCACAGCTTTCCTTTTCAGCACCTCTCACCCCTGCCTTCACCCCAAGCTACTGCAGCCTTCCCACGGGAATGCAAGGAACAGGCTCCCTCGTGCTGCAGAGCTGCACCTGTAGCAGGGACCATATTTCTCAAGCTGGAGCCCTCCTGTGTATTGTAGGGTGAGCAGAAGTGTCAGAAAAAGCTTGGTCTTTCTGGACCAAGCTGCAGGGAAGGGAAGCCTGCATCCCCCCCTCTGCAAGTCCCCAGGGACATGGTGGTGGCTTCTTCCCTGGACTCAGACCTGCAGTGTCCACCTGCTTAGCAGGGACAACCTTCTCCAAAGAGGACAGAAAAACACGTAAAGGCAAAGCTGCTGCCAGCCCCAGCCAAGGCAGAACATGAAGCATTTTGAGTTGTGACTTAACGAGCATGCTGAGACCTTTGTTTCATCTCTGCAACCACCTCCTGCTGTACAAAACCATCCCAGACAAAGCCAAGGCATTTACTTCCTAAGCAGATGGTGCCTGATCCATTGGTAAGACCTCAGCTTGATTCAGCTTTAAGCTACAGAAGAATTCAAGACATCACCCCTTCACAGCCAGGGGATGTTGGATGGCTTTGGGAAATGAATAAATCAGCTGGCTGCTGCTCCAGGTGGAGATGAGGGATTTGTTGATATCTGAGAGCTTAAGATTGACCAAACTTGCAGTCAGCTCCAGCCAGGAGGCCCCACTGCCCCCACAGGGTCTGCAGGGACAAGGGGAGCTGTTCCCAGAGCTGCTGAGGCTGTGCAGGGTGTAACACCTGCCCAATGGCCAGAGGTTTGTCTGCCAGGAGTCAGAGCCCTCCCTCCCTGATTCTTGGCCACCACTCAGTGGCTTGGCCACCTCCTGAGCCTTGGTGGTGAGCCAGGGTTGAGAGGAAGCTCTGCTGCAACCGACCATGGAACAACATCTGATATAGACTGAAGCTGTCAGGAACAACATCAACCTCCCAAAGCATCCAATACCTCCAGAATTCCAGTAAACGGTCACAATTTTATTAATAGGAAAATAATATGGGAAGATCTGGGAGAGGGACTTGAGGAGCAGGGATGTGGAAGGGGAAGTTCCTGGGCCAACAGTGGTCAGGATGGGCTTTTGCATAGTTGTTGGGAAGAGGGGGGACACCAAAGCAGTGCCTGTAAAATGGCAGTGTCACCAATCCCAGAGCCAGGACCTGGGCTGGAGTTGGGTGTGGGGCTGAGGAGAGGGGCAGGGAACACCACAGGTATCCTTGTGAACACCATCAGGAGACCCTCGGCCACCCAAGACCCTGCTGGTGAAGGAAGAGGCAGTTGTGCAGTATCAACCAGAGTTGGAGCTGGCTGGGAAGTGCAGGGGAGGGAGCAGGGCAGCAACGGAGGGGGCTGCGAGTTTAGTGACATGTCCAAGGGAAATCAAGGAAAAGAAATCCCCAGGTATGTGTCTGAAAAAGGGATAGCAATGAGAACACGACTGTTACCTGCTCCTGCCTCCTCCTCAGGCCTCTCCTGGCAAGGCAGCATTAGAGTAGTTAAATACATTCACATAAGATTAATCAAAACAAGCTTCTTCCCAACCAGAAACCAGGCCCAATTTTAAGGAGATTGGGTCTTTGGGGGTTTTATGTTTGGTTTGTTGGTTTTTTTCTCCTTCTTTCAGCAAAACATTCTTAGCCAGCCAATTTATATTTTTTTCCCCTTCCCCTATTTTGACTTCACAAGGTTCCTATTTATTCCAAGTGGCTCATTGGGAATACACCCCCCTGAGTTCCAACTGTCTGTCTGCCACCACCTGAACGTGTGTGCAACATCATCCTTCTCCAAAGCTTCTGAAGCTACAGACCTTGTCATGTCCTTCCCAGGACAGCAACAAGAGTTCAAACAAATCAATAAGAGGAGATACAACTCTATAGCATTTTGCTTTTACTCCTTCATGGAATCTTTCCAACTCAACTTCACAAAAGCAACGTAAATAAAGTCTCTTTTTTTATCTGTTTCTTCTAAAAAGAAGATGCTGTTCCACAGATTACATAGTGCAATTGGTTATCTGGTAGAAAAAAGTTATCTTCTTCAGCTCCACGGAAGGAAACACTGAAAACAGTTCCAAGGTCTCAATAAAAATAGGGAAGTATATCCAGTATTGTCTATAAAGTTTCTTTTGTGCTGAACTCACAGAACCTCCTGGGCTGCCTTCAGTTGAAGAGGATAGAATCTGGGTCCTGGTTGGCCAGCTGTGCAATGTGCTTCAATACATCCTTTTTGGTGATGATCCCGAGCAGCTTCCTGAAAAAGGGAAACACGTTCTCAGTGCATGAGCAGCCTCAGAGCCACCCTGGGAGCCCAGGGCTCTGCCCCTCCTTACCCGTTGTGGGTCACCAGGCACTGGCGCAGGCCCAGCTTGCGGAATATATCAATGACAATTTCCATGGGTGTTTGGTCTGTCACTGTGAAGGGACTGAGGTCCAGGATGCTCCTGAGTTTCAGCATGGAGGGGGAGCTTGGAGGCAGCGGAGGAGAGTGGTCAGTGAAATAAATAATTGAGGTGCTCACAATCCCATCCTGCTTCTTCCGGGCATTTTCTGGAAGAAGAAATACCTGATGAAGTATCACCCCTCTGTTCCCTTGCTGTGCTGAGGAGCACACCTCCTTCCCTGCCCACACTGGAATGGCCTCAGAAGGCCACTCCTGCCTCTCACCTGCATCATTTCTCAAGGCAAGCCATGACCCAAGAAGGGTGTGATAAGTTTCTATCCTACAGCACAACCTCTAAGGTCAACTGCATCGCACCCTCTAGGGTCTCCACAGCTTCACCCCAGCATCAAGGCAGCCACACATCCCAGCACTGCACTCTGGTCATGCAAATGCAAGTTCTGGAGATGTTTAACTTGCCAGCATTAAGAGAAGGTAGAGAAAATACTTTGTACTTTTATGAGTCACCAATTGGGTTTTATGGGTCACCTGTGCAGAGGAGCTGAAGTATTTTTAAGCACTGCACCTGCTGGAACAGGCTCCGTGCCTGTAACTAGGGCCAAGAACAGAAGACAAGTGAAGCCCTTGCCATCCCTCAGCCATTTGTACTAGGGCATGACACTCCTGCTACATGGGCAGTGTGTGGACCAACCAGTTTTCTCCTTCTTTTCCTTCAGGAAATAAAGATTTGAGACTTTAACAGCTAAGAAAGATTTCCACATCCAGTCATCCACTCAGTCACTGGCCAGAAGTCTCCTGCCTCTCCACCATGCCACGAGGTTCATGACTCCAACAGAGCTGCACCAATGGCCTTGGGGGACCCCACCCTGTCCTTCACACTCCAGGCATGCAGACCCCACTTGCTCAGGGAGGGAGATGCAGGCACCAGTAAGCAGAGCCACCACCATCACCACTGGGTGCCTCATTTCACCAGGTACCTTATCCCTAGTGCCATCTAAGGCCTCCAACAGCACCACTGACCTACGCAGTGTCCTCTCACCAATTGAAATGATGAGGTCCCTCCTCAGGACGAACCCAACGAGCCTCTGGGACTCCCGTGACACCACCACGGGGTAGCCACTGTAGGTGGTGTCATTGATGATGGTTTCAACATCTTCCACAGTCATGCTGTCCTGCGTGATGACGGTCAGAGGGGGGTCACTCCTCCGCGGCCTCATCACGTCCATGGCCAGGGTCTTGTGTGAGAACTCCTCCTTGGCCTCCAGGAAGGGGTACCCATTGAGTCGGATGTGGGCATCATAAATGCCTTCTCTGCCGATGGCATCAGCCACCCACTTGCTGGTCATGGCTGCTGCCATCAGGGGAACGATGTATTCCAGCCCACCAGTGAGCTCAAACATAATGACCACCAGGGACACGGTCATTCGGGTCACCCCACCTGCCAACAGACACAGGAAGACAGACCACATGAACCAGCTGTTCTGGGGGGTTCCAAACTAGGTTTTGATAGCATGCTATTGTTGTTCCTGAAAGGGGAGCTTCTCCTGATGGGTAAAGTGGTCCCTTAAGAGTTAAACATATTATGCTGTGGAGGAGAGGACTGGGAGTTACAGTGCAAGTGAAGTTCAGTCACCTCCACTCAGCTTCTCAAACCCAGCTGAGCAGAAGCAGCGTGACCAAAAACCAGAGCCCTGGACAGAAGAGTTGCACCGTGACATTTAAGGCCAGAACAGGAGGCAGAATGAATTAAAACCCCACAGGAAAATCTCAGTTCTCTAGCCAGTCCCATTTGTTCTTGCTGCCCATTTTGAAGACTCCCTGCTGGAACCTGTCATGTCCAACAAAAGGTTGGTGCTGGCCAGAGAACACAAATGGGATGAGAAACATGTTGCATGTTCTACTGCAAACTTTCCTTTCTGGAGATGAAGACAACTCCCATGGACTGTGGGACAGCAGATCCCTGCTATAAGGTTCTATGTGGCCAACCAAGCCCCAACCCACAGCTTGGATTCCAGAAGACACCTCACTTACCTAGACAGGCTGCAGCCCCGACCATGGCATAGAGGCCAGGGGTGATGCAGTCTGCTCCTTGGCTGCACCAGCCACTGAAGATGGCCCAGTCGTGGTGGTAATAGGCCAGTTGCTCCACAGCCACCCCAAGCAGCCGGCCAGTGATGGCCCCCACTGCCATGCTGGGGATGAAGAGACCTGAGGGCACCTGCAGGAACATGCACAGAGAACATGCCTGGGCTCCAGCACAAAAGGCATCCAAGGAAGTTCAAGACAGGACCCAGCCAGAGGCTGGATTGAAGTTAAAACCAGCAAGGACACCTTGCTCTGTCACCTCTGCCCTTCCTGCACCCTCACATCCTAATGTCTCTGCAACAGAGTTTGGATTTAGTCCTTTCTGGACAGGAGAAGCTGCCACACACGAGGTGAGTGTGAAACAGAACAGGCGTTCTTCCAGAGCTCGCTTCCCAAGAGCACATAACAAAGCTTCACCCACACACCACCAACACCCCCTGTGCCTCCCCACCCCACCAGGACCTGCTTATTGTGCACACAGGTCCTGCTTTGCTGGCTGAGAGCAGGATCATCCTTCTTCCCTGACAGAAACTCAGACTCCACTGTGGAAGTGAGGGTGCCTGGAAGGAGCACACGCAGCACAGGTGACACCCACAGAGCCACTGCTGGCAAGTTTCACCCCTGCACTTCAGCTGCTTCAGACTCTAAAAGCTCCTGTTCTTTCAGGTCAGAGAATCTCCCCCTTCCCTTCCCACATTTGGCACAGCTTTCTCAGCCACTGTGCATCTTTCTCACAGATTTGATGATTGCCCTTGAGTGTCAGTGACTACACCTCGTGGCAACAACCCCAAACCTCTGTGGTGGGGTCACCTTTCTGGACAGACCACTGGAGGAATAGGGGCAGGAGAAGATGCTCAGCACCACCTCCTGAGCTCCACTGCAAGAAAGCTCAGACCTAGGTACTACACCCATAGCTCAGGAGGCTGCCACCAAACAGGTGCAGAACTGTTGGAGGAAGGAAACTGCTATGATGAGTAAACATTTACAAACTCAGATACCAACTGCTTGGCAATTAGCTATTGCATGAACACCAAAAAGGCTTCAGGCTGGGCAATTCAGAAGCATTCCATTTTTGGGAAATGGGACATGAAGCCCTGAGACACCAGCTTCAGTGACTGTATCTGATGCCCACACTCAGACTAAAAGGATCCTACTGCCCTCAGCTACGAGCAACAGAAGAAATAATTTTTATCTATCACCTTCTCCCCTTCTTAACAGAGGCTGGGGAGGAAAACATGTCTGTCTATTGAGCAAACACAGCTCTAAGACCTGGGGCTCCCGCAGAGGATGAGAAGAACGTGAGCTCCTTTAGAGGCAACCCTCACCTTCATGCCAAAGGTGAAGATGGTGATGAAGACTTTCATGACAAGGGCCAACGCCAGCTGCCACACGGCAGTGTAGACCCCTGGGCCCGCAGCCCGGTCTGGCAGGTCGTCCCCTTTGGTGCTGTTGAAATCGTTCACGTACTCGCAGAGTTTGGACGAGTCCAAAATCCCACAGTCATTGAAGAGCTCAGAGATCAGCTCACTGGTGCTCATCCTGGTGTACTCGTTGGGGAAGGCCAGCACGGCCGTCAGGGCGGTCACCACCAACACCTCCAGCACCGGGTACTTCCCAAGCCTGGTCGTCTTGCGTCGCCTGCACCAGGCGATGTTGCTGCGGATGAAGAAGGCTCCCCAGAGCCCACCGAATATTCCCAAGAGGATGAATGGCAGGAGCTCCAGAAGGTGCCATGGTGTGTGGAACTCCACGTAGAAGAGCACCAGGCGGCTGTTCCCAAAAGGGTTGATGGAACGCAGGGTGAAGGCAGCGACCAGAGCGGCGAAGAAGGAGCGCCACAGCGTCTTGAGAGGAAAGTAGTAACTGACCTGGACAGGAGAAACAAAACAGGCTCAGTCATCTCAGCACTTGTCACTACAACCATCACTGCCCAGCCACAAAATCCTGACTGTGTGTGAAGTGGAAGCAAGGACTGAGACTGACGTGCACTGGCTCCATCCCCTCCTCTCCAGCCAAGCACCCCAGGCTTTGTCCCAAGTCAGTGCAGATGGCAGTGAGCAGGACGGGCCCTGGCCTGCACACCCCCAAGGCAGCAGGTGCCCTCTGTGATCTCTGAAGCAGAGGTGACTCACTGGGATAGTAAAAGCTGTCCCAAATCAGCTATGAGCCCAGCCCAGGGACCCGTCTGCCTTGCGTGCCCTGTGCAGCCCAGCCATGCCAAGCAGCAGTGCCTGCCAGAGCTGCCACCTCAGCTACTGCTCAGCCCAGCACAACCATCCCTCTCCTCCTCTGAGCCAAGCCCTGCAGCAAGCAGCAGTGATCCACTTCATGTCTGGATTGGAAAAATAAGGATGAGAAGTGTCTTGGGAAGAAAAACGGGTTGATAAGCCAGAAGAGTTTGCTCCCAGGCACTCTGGGACAGAGCTGTCAGGACAGGGTGCAGATGTGGTCAACAGGAGAGAGGCAGTGGCTGGAGTAGCAGGTGTTGCTGAGCACAGACAGACTGGGGGAAACCAACAGGTTGATTGCAAAGCTACAGAGAGACATCATCCAAAATTAATTCTCCAGCATCATAAGAATTACCTGAAACCCCAATAAGGTTTTAGGTTGCTTGGCCTTGTAAACACAGCACCAATCAGTATTCAAGAGGGTCTCCTTTCCACACCCCAGCAGATAGGAGTGGGCTGTATTTTTAAACCAGCAGGGTCAGCTCTTGCAACAAACCAGCTCACCAAGAGCTAATAGAAAATGCTGATGTTACCTCTTCCAGACTAAAGAGCACTCCTCCGATCGGGGCGCCGAAAGCTACAGACACACCAGCAGCTGCAGCTGCTGATAAAACCTGAGAGAAACCAGAGAAAGTCAGACACCTTCAGCCCCCAAAACCTTCCCCCTTTTTCCGTTTGTCTTTACTCAAATTCAGGCTGTTTTCATCCCCAGTGAGAGCACAGAAACAGCCTGTTGTAAAGCCAGCAGGGAGAGCACTTCACCAGTCCCACCCCAAACCAGCACAAGTGGCATCACTGGCAGTCACCACGTCTGTCCCAGCTGATTTCATGCTACGTTTTCACCTCTGGAAAAGCTCCAGTGAACCAGAACAGCAGCACTTTCACCTCCCAGAACACACTGACTTTTCCCAGTTTCCTGTCTCACACTCACACCATTACTCAGCAGAAGATGACGTGGTGTAACGAGGTGCTGTGGGGCCACCCCAAGCCTGGCCAGCTCTCAGGGTGGATTCTGTCAGGTTTGGTTTAGCAGGAGGTAAATTGGCCAATGAGACACTGTATGAACCACTTTGCAGTGGCTTGTCCAGAGACCAGCCTTATAGCTCTGAGAGGAAACACTCCTGAGCACCACATTAGATGTCAGCTTGGTTCTTCCACCACATTCTTCTACCCCTAGAGCCAAGTCCAGGTCCCTCAAACAGTCTCCAGCATTGGTTATGGAGTTGCATGGCAAACACAGGCTCTGCAGAACCGGGTCTGCAGCAGGTTAGTGCCAGGGACACTCCCACCACAAGTGAGATGGTGACCTGTGCTGGGGAGATGCTGCGGTGTCACCTCCTAACTGAGTTGGCTTTTGCTCCAACACAGTGTTGGGCTGAGTGACACCAAAACCACACCAAACCAGGACCATCTACAGGCAGGACAAAGCACCTGAGCCCCTGGTCCCCCCACCCCCCCAGCAGCCTGAGAACACGGGGGTCTCTCCGCACCTCTCTGCGCTTCGCTTCGTTCTTCCTGTACTTGGTGAAGAGGTGGCACAAGATGTTCCCACAGCAGCAGGCAACGTGCACCAGGGGCCCCTCTTTGCCCAGGCTCAGCCCAGAGGACACGGCCAACACTAAGGTGATGGTTTTGATGATCAACGTCCACTTGCCCAGGTAGCCTCTAATGATGAAACCACTTAAGATAGTTTTGATCTGGAAGTCAAGCACACAAAGCTCTACAGGCTTTCATTCAAGCCCTGGTCAGAGCTCCTGTTTTATTAGATGCTCCCAATCCTTCCCTCAGCTTCGCCCGACAACTTTCAGAGCCCCCAGCAGCTGTCAAAAATAATGGAGAGTCAGTAAAAATATCCCTCTGTGCAAAGGCAGGAACAGCCCCTTGAACCCTTCCTTCAGGGACACTATCCCTGCTGAAGAAAAATCCAAGGAGGGCTTTTGCTGCCTCTCACAAACAGTGAGCTTTGGTTTGCACCTCCTGCAGGAAATGCCAAAGTATTTTAGTTTTCTAAAGGACTGCATGGAGACTTAAGTGATTAAGATATGTTTCAATAATAATTTGGGAAAAAAATCCATATATTAAGCCACTATCTGAAGTGCAAGAAACTATTCTTCCACGGCAGGCATGTGCAATCCTTGGATGGTGGATCCCTATCCCACCCTGCAGAAACCCAACCCACTTTCCTTCTCACTCACCTCTGGGATTCCTGAGCCACAGGCGTAAGGAGCAAACCCCTTCACAAGCAACACAGCAAGCAGGGAGAACAACAAGGCCCAGATGACGTACATGAAGTAGTTGAGAATGTATGCAAAGGCCCCCTGAAATGCAGAGGAAGTTGAGTTACCCAGTTGTCCTTTGACTGGGACCACATCAGAGCCGTGCAGCAGAGCGAGCGCACAGAGCAGGTCACCTCACACAGTCACCAGGCAGACACGAGGAGAACTGCACCCAGGCTGAGCTTCTGAGGACAAGTTACACTTGCTGGGACACACACAGCTAAAACACTGCCCAGGTAAACGTGCCCATGCTTTGCTTCTCCCTGTCCCCTCTGAGGACAACACAAGTAACTTGTCTGAGTTCATTTACACCCCTGGAAGACCCCAACGATGAATGTGAAATCAGTGAACCACCCAGAGCTTGCACTTCTGGCACATCCATCCAGATCATTAGCAAGGGAGGATACAGGCTGGGAAACAGGACATTTGGCAACAAAACCAGCTGTAGACACACATCACCTCTCCATGGCCCAGGATCAGCTGGGACCAGCTCATCCACTCAGGACACTGGTCTCTGTCCGTGAAGGTCGTGTTGGATTTCCAGCAGCAGTGCTCATGGTTAAACCAGAAGCCTGCTAGACACACTCCTTCCTTCAGATCTGTCATCCAGTGAGCAGAAATGTCTATCAGACCCGCTAGGGAACCTAGTTCAAAGAGGGAAAATAAGAAAAACTTAATAAACATCTTATGCAGATTCAAATACCTGAAGGTCATGGGCTGCCTTGCTGATTTTTTACTTCCCTGCCAACAGAGTGCTGACATCTCTGCCTGCAATTCACTTGTATTCTACAGAGAGCTAGGTGGGGGGATTTGCTTAGTACATATATATATATATATCTATATTTACACATACGTATTGAAAAGAGGTCAGGAAACCAAGCATGCCTATTAAGATTTCAAAGGTTCACCATTACAAACTGTGTCCAAACCCACCCTACATCATTAGAAATTAATTCTTCTTGATGACACTGAAAGTGTTTCTGGACAGAGCACAGTGAGCTGGCTGAGAAGCAGAGGGGGGTGAATCACAGCTCTGGAGGATGCAGACAAAACGTGTCACCAGGCTCCAGTGCAGAGCTGGAATCCAGGAGTTTCATTAACAACACTAAGCCTGTGGCAGGAATAGCTTTGAATTTGGATAAAACACTGCCAATCCCAATTTTAAAAAAGGAAAACAAAAAAAAGGGGAGGGTGGAGAAGTTCCAACTGTGCCAAGCAACACAAAGCAAGCAGAGCCATTGCAGAGAGTGACTGCTTTTAAAAGAGGAATCTTCAAGAAACTTCTTATTTTTCTGTTAAGAATAACCCCTACAATCACTAGCACAAGATCCAGAGGTAGCAATAAACACACAGCAAATCTTGCAGTTAATGAAAAACCGGGCAGCAGCTTTCCTATGTAAATATTAACAGAGGATTTAATTTCATGGCTCGTGATAAATGCTCAGCTGCTTCCTATCAGGAGGATCTGTCTCCAACTGATTGACTTCTGCTGCACTGGGTCCAAAGTTTGCCTCTGAAGTCACTGAAAAGGTCTCAGGCAGCCAACCTCTGAAAGAAGCCCAACTTCCCAAGAATCACTGCTCACTTTTTATATCTTTGTAGGAAAATAAATTAAAACAAGAATATCTTGCCAGCAGCCCTTGGCATTAATCTCTGCAGTGCCAGTGAAG